GGGCCGAGTACAATAACCTCAGTTTGATCTGAATTAAGAAGCAGAAAGTTAGCGGCCATCCAGGTCTTTATGTCTTTAAGACATTCCTGCAGTTTAACTCATTGGTGTGTGTTATCTGGCTTCATGGACAGATAGAGCTGGGTGTCATCTGCATAGCAGTGTAAATGTATGCTATGTCTTCTAATGATGCTGCCTAAGGGAAGTATGTATAATGTAAACAGAATTGGTCCTAGCACTGAACCCTGTGGAACTCCATAATTAACCTCAGTGTGTGAAGAGGACTCTCCATTTACATGCACAAACTGGAGTCTATTAGATAGATATGATACAAACCACTGCAGCGCAGTACCTGTAATACCTACAGCATGTTCTAATCGCTCTAATAGGATATTATGGTCGACAGAATCGAACGCTGCACTGAGGTCTAGCAGGACAAGCACAGAGATGAGTCCACTGTCAGAGGCCATAAGAAGATCATTTGTAACCTTCACTAAAGCTGTTTCTGTGCTGGGATGAGCTCTGAAACCTGACTGAAACTCTTCAAATAAACCTCTGCAGATGATCTGCAACCTGAGACTCCAGCAGCAGAAGTTGTCGAACTATGGAAGACATCATGTTTAGTTCCAATACTAAAGAAAGACAGATCAGACTGGTTCTCATGTCATGAAGGTGCTTGGAGCGGTTCTTGCCCAGTTTAGCCTGCAGGTGAAACCTCTTCAGTTTACTCACCAGTCTTTTGTGGGGGTGGATGATGCTTTCATCTACCTGTTGTTCCAGCATTCTCACTCTCAGGTGGAAGGTGGCATTGTAAGAATCATGTTTTTTATTTTTACAGTGCCTTTAATACCATCCAACCCCTTTTGCAGAGTGGAAAGCTGGTCAGGATGTCAGCACTTCTACTGTCTCCTGGATCGCTGTCTGTCTGTCTGGTGGGTAGCCTGTGTGTTGTGGTGGTCAGTAATACTGGGGCACTACAGTGCTATCACCATTCCTATTTACCTTGTACACCTCAGATTTCCAGTATAACAATGAAACGTGAGTCCTCTGATGACACTGCAGTGGTTGGGTGTGATAGTCACGTAGAGCTGGAGCTAAGTGTCAGAGTGGAAAGACGGTGCAAACCATCTGTACCCTCGATCATTATGGGAGATGTCAGATCTCTCCCCAGTAAGATCGAGGAATTGGCGGCGCTGACCAGACTCCAGGAGCACCGGAAGGTTAGCACGATGTGCTACATAGAGTCGTGGCTAACACACCTCACTCCAGACTGTCACGTGACTGTTCCGGGATTTCACCTGGTGAGAGCGGATCAGGACGCGAAGGAGACCGGCAAGAGGAAAGGTGGGGGGATTGTGATGTGTGTGAACGAGAGGTGGTGTAAATCGGGGCACATCAGTGTTAAGGAGCAGCACTTTACTCGTGATGTGGAGCTTTTAGCGGTTAGCATCCGACCATATTACCTGCCGCGGGAGCTCTCGCAAGTCATCGCGATAACCGTGTACATCTCGCCAGCGGCAGCAGCATGTGAGACAACCCACGCGGTAGTGTCCCAGCTGCACACGTCACACCTCCAGTGGCGTGTCTAGAAAATTTTTGTTTGGGGGGCCAGGTAGGGGCACAGATTTGGAGAAGGGTGGCAGATGTAATTGGCAGATAATGTTAAAAAATATTCTACCAACTGAATCAGAATCAGAATACTTTATTAATCCCGAAGGAAATTAGGGTTACAGCAGGCAGCACGCTAATGGCGCATGCGCACTTACAAACCTTCTGACCAACTTTACACAAACATCACATTGGGGAGACATGTCAGAAAGGTAGGCTGATAGGAAAAAAACAACGAAAATACACTACATGAGGTGAGAGGAGGAGAAAAAAACTCCACTCAGACTGAGCTCCTGGTGGGAGAACAGTTTGATAACAGAAAAAACACCTCAGCACAAAAGCACATGACTATCAACACACCACAGAAACACAAGACAAGCAACAGGGGCGGGTAAAGGTGAGAGAGAGCCGGTGTAGACAGCGCATCCGGTCCTGCAGCATCTGCGCTGGTCCAGTTGACTGCTATCTTCCCCGGTAGGAGACAAGCATCGAAGGCGTTTGGAAAGGGAGGGGGGATGAGTGTGTGCATATCAGTGTAAGTGTGTGTGTGTGTCCAGAGTTCAGCTGAGACAGTGTCCTTCGCCCTGCCAGCCTAAGTAAACAGTCTTCCAGCCAACCCAGGTGGCCTTGCATGGGATGGGAAGGACAGTCATAACACAGTCGTTATCAGGGAGTGATTGTTCGGCTCCAGCCTTGGGCCTGCAGCTGGCGCCGTGATGGGGGTCCGCAATTTTGATATTGATTTTGTAAATTTCCATGCGAGCAGCCCAGGAGAATTTTCAGGCTGCTCTTTAACACTCTGACGCTGGTCTCTCAATCTCCCGTTGGAGAGTCGCGAGCCTCCCCATGATGGTATCAAACTTCTGTTCCATGGTGTTGTCATTCTTTTGATTCTGAGACCTCACAGCTGCAGTGATCCGTTCCGCGATGTTTTCCAACTGTCACTCAAGGGTCTCATTTTGAGCAGGCCCCTCTCTGATGTATCCCCCCATACGCTCAATGGTGTTGTTTTGAGCCTTCACAGCAGCTGCAAGCGTCTCCAAGGTGTTGACCATATTACGTTCGTTGTGAGAGGTCGCACCTCGTCCCGTCGCTTCGATTCCAGCAGGCAGCCTTGGGGGGGTTTGAACAGCCGGTTCCGCTCTCTTATTTCTCCGATAAACCAGGGCTAAGCCAACGCCGATCAGCAAGAACAACCGTTCACCATAATTCAATAACCCTATAAACCTAATAACCAAATGTGCTTTTAACTCTTCTTAGAATGAGATTTTAACCACTACGGTGCAAAGTTTTTAGATACTGCGTTGATAAAGTACAAGAGATACAATCAGTCAGTGCTTACTCAGCAGTCAAGGACAGCAATATTTGCATAGTATTTTTACTGACATGTAGTGCACATATGTTTTGGGCAAAAACATTTTTGAATATTAAAATACGAACATTTGTAACAAACAATTGGCAAATTAGCCAATGCAAAACTTTATCTGCCTGTTAAAAAAAGAAGATAATCTTCTCACAAGCTAGTGTTTGATTTTGAAACAGGAAAAAAGTGGAGAAACAACTGAAAAGACTAACATTTGAATAAAACCTGAAAGCAAGTAAATACTTTCTATGCTGCCTTATGGTAAACGTTGGTAATATTGATAAAGAACAACACTGGCTGACGATGAAATACAGTCAGCTGGCATGGTGACACTGCCAGTATTAACCTGCAGGGCTGGACTGGGACAAAAAAATCGGGCATTTTGACTACAGACCGGCCCACCAGGTATTAAAGCCATAAAGCCTTTGAATGAAAACAAACGCTGCTGTAGGCTGTGGCACTTGGCCAGAGGTGGCGCTGGTTGATTCGAGTCCATGTTAGTGCACAAAGTAAACTGCTCGCTTTAGTTGTGAAGCAAAAACACTGAAATCGGGGAAATAAAACGTAGGAGGGGAACGATAACGACGACAAGAGCATCCCGATCGTTGACTCTTGCTGTCCTGTGAACAACATCGGCTTCTGGGTGGCAAATGTTTGGAATCATGTATGATTTTCGTTCCACTTCTCACGTGTGCACCACTTTGTGTTGGTCTTTCACGTGGAAGTCCAACACAATTGATTCATGTTTGTGGCTGTAATGTGACAAAATGTGGGAAAGTTCAAGGGGGCACAATACTTTTGCAAAGCACTGTAAGAAGAGCATGAGCAGACTACTTTCTAAGGAAGCTCAGACCCTATAATGTGTGCAGAAGGATGTTGGGAGGTCTTCTACCAGTCTGTGGTAGTGAGTACCAACGATGCCAGTGCCAGAGGTCCCAGCAGGATCAACAAACTAACCCACGAGTTATACTTGATATATAAAATATAAGTCATGAAAATAAAGATTCATAGATGAAACACAAAAGTCAAAGTGCACTTTTCCCACTGACAACATCCAGATGAGCAGAATCAACTTTTACTTATCTGGATGATTGAAACAGATTTTGTCTTCATGTCTGCTCAGAGTGCAGCGATGTCCTGTGTGAAGGGGCCTTCAGTCGCTTGTATTTATGCCCACTGTTAAGAGGCAGGAAGCCACTGCAGTATTCTCCTGAGCGACAGCTGTGTCACTCAGACGTACGTGCTGGTAAGAGGAAGGAGTCACGTTCTTTCCACAAACTCAACTTTTCAAACAGTTCCAACACTGTGTGTCAGTACGTCTCTGAGCTTCTGTGCAGGATTATCATTAAAACTGTAGTAAACACTGGCACCATCGCACACTCACGCCTCTAATCCAGCTGTGACGGCCGCGCACAGCGTGCCACCTTACAAAATCAAGAGGTGCACAGCTGACCGACGCAACACAAACACTGTGTTCCAGTCCCAAACAGCTTTAAATCCATCACGGACAGCAAACTCACCTGTTCACCTGCAGAGTCATGCACCCTCTAAATAACACAGTTAGTATAAACAGGAGATTTCATCATCAGTTGATTTTTAACATGGCAAACAACCCTGACAAAAAACAGCCAAAACAGACAAACACAGCATCTGTTTTTATTTAGATTTCGTGCAGCTTCCCACAGATGGATGCAGAAAGTCAAAAACTGGCACTTTAAGATAATTAAGGCATTTGTTGTTGGTGATCAGGTTTACGCTGCAAGTGGTTTGAAAGAAACAACAAAGAAAAAAAAGTTCACCATCATTTATTCCCCAGAGCTGTTCAGTTCTGATGTTTGATGACAGCAGACAGAAAACGGTTTCAACATGAAAATATGAGCTTTGAAATACAAAGAACATATCTATAAAGACTACTGAAGCTCTCTGTAGTTCCACACATCCAGACCTGAGATAGTTCAAAAGTGTCCCTGCTCAGCAGGTGGAAACCAGGGCCATGAACACACATACAGCTCCTTTATTCTATAATCTGAAAACTACCAAACATACTTATGATGAGAGCTCTGAACATATGTTGCTGATTATTTTAGTAAAATGATTCATTAGTTTAAAACAGTGTTGCAGTGAACACTGTGGCTTCATTAGACATTTCTACACAGTGTATCATGTGCTGCTCTGACAGCCATCCTCAGGCTAGGCTCAGAGCCGGTCATGGACAGTTCCACTCATTAAAGGCTGCTACGAGCTAATTTGATCAGTCTCAGTTTGTAGGGCAGCATAAAGTCGTGTTACTACAAACATCAGTGGTAACTGAGCAACATTTGGAAGCTGAGGGCAGTCACAGGTCTCTGAAGGCACAGAGCTGCACTCTCTCTTGGCAATAGAGAGCCAGCACAGATGGATCTTTGAGAACACTCAGCTCGTGCTGCCTGTCAGCAGACTGGGAGAAGTCGTCGGGGCCCTCTCCACAGCCTCCCTCCTTGGGGTGACTGGGGTACCCCGGGTGGACCATGAGCTCAGCTGTGACCACAGGCTGATGTGAACCCTGCACAGAGCTGGAGGTAGAGGATGGAGGGTTTGCAGCCAAGGCGTAGCTGAGGGCCCTGTGCAGGCTTGGGATGGACATGTTCTGCCCCATGGTGGTCAGTCCCAGGTACACATCTGGCCACCTGTGGAGGAGGAAAATTGTTACGATTCATGTTTCTCATATGTGCAACATCAGAAACTCTCTACAAACTCTCTTGTCCTCCAATTGTCCAGTTTCCTTTATTTAAAGACACTCTCCACACTCTGCCCAGCAGCTCTTTGGAAACTCTAATGAGACACTTAAGCTTGTCACAACATCTTAGCAAAGATACTGAAGTTTTTTGCTAAAGGCAGCTAGTCCTTTACTACGTTTCAGCGTTATGTGTAGAAACTCTGGTTCATCACTGTGTCCTGAGTCAGGTGTCTTTCCTGTGCTTGAGTCACAGGTCAGTGTTGAGTAGCTTCCTCTGAAAACAAGCATCACACTGAACAAATGAGTGTTCAGAGAAAGACTTCAGACAGTCTGGAGCCAAATATAAAATCTAAGAAAGTGTGGTGAGTTTGGACAGCACTGTGAAACACCACCACTGACACTTAAGCTTGATGCTTAAACTCAAAGTAACTGTAGAGCTGACTGGGCTCATCTGCACAGACAACAGGACAAAGAGCAGCCAGCAGCCAGCTTTGATGAAGCCTGGAGAATTATTTCTGAGGACTACTTAAAGAAAACACGAGCGCCCCACAGAGTCCGGCTGTGATGGAGAATAGAGGTGGTCACACCAAATACTGACTTTCAGGTCAGAGTTGTGTGAACTCTGGTTTTGCCTTAGGTGTGTTTTTCATGTATGCTCACAAATTTGTTTAATTGCTGCATTTATTTCCTGTTTTTGTAGCAAACTAAGTAAATCTGTCTTTGTTCTAATACAGTAATGTGCAAAAGTCTTGAGCTGTGCCATCGTTTATCTAATAGACATGGAGCCAAAGTCCAGCCCTGCTGCTTCCACAGGACTTCAGAGGGAAGCGTGTGCTGGTAACACATGCACCATATAAACTGATCATCAATAAGTATGAACGCTTCTATAAAAGCAGAAGCTTTTGCAGGTTTGCAGTCAGGTGTGTGTTAGTATAGAAATACAGGCAAAGACAGCAGCACGGATCTGAAAGATCATGAATCACTGCTGCTTATCTTTTCTGCACAGAAGCCACCTCGACAAAGATCATCCCAGGACTGGACGTCACTGCAAAAACACTCCGACTCTACAGCTCTACACGTTCATGCAAGAACAGCAGCATGGGTCAGGTTTGCAAAAACCACAATGTGCTCTGGAAAGCAGTGCTGTGCAGGTCCATACTGGAACCCACTCAGCAGAGTCATGTGTGGGGCTAGTTCAGCTCCAGGAACTTAAAACTACAGAGGCCCATTTGTTCAAACTGCAGAGCCTTTAAAGTTTATTATGCAGAGTAGGTCTCCTTTAAATATACAGCGAACATGAAGCTTTAGAAAATAAAAGTACAACTCACAATATTTCATAGATGAATAAACAATAGCGTGTGTAAAATGTTTCTCAGCATTATTATTGTTTTCAGTTACATTTGTTTTTATGGTACTTGAATATTTTGAAATGCTGGTAATGACTTTTTTAGGATTTCTGTTTCCTGTGTGATAATTCTGGACAATTAAACAATAAGACCGAGAAGTTTCATGTCGTGTGTTCATCATGAAGGTGCAGTTTAAAAGTGTCAGTGTGGGATCAGACAGGGGTGTGTTTCTACTGGAGGGTACACAGACGCTTCAAGCTAGCACGGTGGCGTCTGTTGGCCTCTCCGTGTTGAGGTGCACTCTCAAACGCTGCGTCTGCATCAGGTTTATTCAGTTTAAACCTCGATAAGGACTCGATCACATTTATGTCCTGACATGTAAAACCTTAGAGATGACCAGTGTTGGGAAGGTTACTTTTGAAATGTATTCCACTACAGATTACAGATTACATGCCCCAAAATGTATTTTGTAACATATTCTGTTATGTTACTCAATGAGAGTAACTATTCTGAATACTTTGGATTACTTAATATATTATTAAGCTTTTTACAGCTACATGAATGTCCTATTGCTGTGATTTATTACTATTACTGCAGGTTACTCTCCACACCAACACCAGCTAGATGTTTAAATCTTAATATAAATGAGTAACAGTAGGTGGACATTAGGTAAGGCTGCACTTTTTGCAGCGACCTCGTGTAGAAAACTATCCCACGCGTATATAAAACAGGTCAGCGGCTCTGAACCGTAGTAAAGGACCTCTGGCTGATACGTCGGGTTCGTGTCGGCTCGTAGCTGAAAACTAGCTTTACTTTGTTGTCTGGGTCACTTTGCTAGCAGAGACAGAGAGAGGCGTTGAAAGGCTCCAACAGAACTTATTGTTTCAGAGGAAACAGGAACACAGCGTACAGTCGAGTCTTAACAGCTTACTTACAGCTGGGCTTGTCAGGCTCTCTGTTTGGCTGCAGTGGTTATTATTATATTTACATGCTTCCAGCTCCAGTTTCTGCTCGGTTAAAGCTCCTACTTTTCCTTTTCCTCCCCCCTCGCTCACAGACACATCACGGGTACAGCAGTCCATCCTCCCTGCAGCACGGACTACGCTGCCCATCAGGCTGCATGCTTTAGGGCCTGTAACACTCTGCCTGTTGCCTTCATATTGAATCATTTTTAAAATGACATTATGAGACGCGAGGCTGAGACGCAGACATCAGAGCCTCTTATTGCGTGTTTTGTTTGGGTTTCCACCAGCGTGGAATTACCAAAAATAGAGAGGGCAGAGCCGAACATGTGAAACAGGAAAAGACCGCTGTGTAATCCCTTTATTTCAACAAAGTAACTGTATTCTGAATACCACCCTTTTAAACGGTAACTGTAACAGAATACAGTTACTCATATTTTGTGTTTTAAATACGTAACGACGGCACATGTACTCCGTTACTCGCCAACACTGGAGATGACACTCACTGCATATGTGTGGTTTAATTTGAAGCCTGGTCTAGTCCCAGCAGTTTCATACAAACAGACCTGATTCCATGGCGTCTGAACACTGGGATGGCATCCAGAGCGTCCTTCTCCACCTGCTTGTAGAATTTGTGCAGGTGTGCTGGTATCCACGGGCAGCTGTATAGACCCGGCTCCACGGGAACACGAGTGTAGGGGATCCTGAGATCTGAGACAACCTTCGCAAACACTTCACGGACCTCTGCACAGACGACATAACACGAACATTTCACTGCTGTCATCTTCTTAATGGAGCCAACAGCTAAGCGCTCACTGAACTGAATCCTACATATGGAAGAAAAGCATCAGTGGAACGACAGCTAATAGCAAAGCTCTGCGTTGGAGCACAGCAGGACTTCTCTTTGTTTCTCAGCTAAATTATATTTCTGCCCATATAATCATTGCTCTTTTACATAGCATATTATTAACTACTCAAACTTTTTCACTGGTCTGATGACAGGATGCTTGGTTTGTTTTCTATTATAAAAACATTTTTTAAATTAATGAATCTGATTAGTAGAACCAAAATCAGCTGCCTCAGGACAAACAAACATTAACGGTCTCCTCCCTTCAGTTCACATTTACCTGCTAACTCAAAAGCAGAGACACACAGGTGCACATTTGCATGATTAATCTGTACCATAACTCCATGGGGACGTGTTGGAAATAACCTGAAACATGCTACATCACCACAATCAGCCATCAATGTGTAAATGCTGTTGACTCTAGCAGCAAACAGCAGTTACAGCTTTGTCTCTTCATCCTCTGATCCTCTGACCTGGGAGGACGTGAACATGTTGGTGTCCGTCCATGTGCTCGGGTAGGTGACCATTCAGCTCCACGAAAAGCCCGACCTGGGCCCTCAACTCCAGCTCCACCTTGGAGGAAACAAAACACACCTGGAAACAGCTGTGATGGAGACACATGACTTCAAAGACAAAGGTCGTTTTAAAATCTGAGGCTGGTGTTTTTGCAACTCAGCAATAACAACGTGACAGCTGTACCCAAGTTCAAACTGGTACTGTCTGAAGACACTTCAGTTTCATTCACATAGTGCTGAATCTCAGCAGTCGCCTTCAAGTGTAAAAATGAAATAACAGAATCCGCCAGCGATCAAACTGGAGTCTGTTAGATCTGCTCGGTGTCATTCAAACCACTGCAGCGCTCTAATCTCGGTAATACTGTGGTCAGTATTGGTGTAGCTCATGAGGCAGAGCGGGTCATCTACTGATTGGAAGGTTGGTGGTTCGATTCATGGCTTTCTGCATGCCAAATATGCTTGGATAAGATACTGACCCCAAGCTGTATGAATGTTGGTTAGGAAGCACTTCTAGAAAAAAGTGCTTGTATGAATGTGGCGTGTTGTATAAAGCGCTTTGAGTGCTCAGAGTGGACATAATAAGTATATATAAGAACCAGTCCATTTTTTCTCTAACTGTAAAATTGTATTTGTAAACGAGGCCATTAATAGTTAATGTTAAAGGAACATTCAGTTCAACAGAGTTCAGACGCTCCTTCAGTGCTGAAGGCAAACCTGTGGTTGTTCTTATTCTCTTAAATCAGTGAAAGATTTACTTTACAAAGGGCTCTTTTTAAATAAAGCAACAACCTGTTTTTCCAGGCTAAATAAAAACCTTCTAAATTAACGAGACGCTTTGTCCTCTCCAGCTTACAGGTCATCTGCTTCCATGTGCGTGTCTGAGAGTTACACCTGGGACTCAGGTACCTGTAATGTGAGGCCTTCGTTTGCAGAGGAGCTGCAGCATCCAGAGTGGTACACAGTGAGGAGGTAACACTACGAGATAATCGACCTCTGTGGGAGGAGCTGCTCTGCACTGTGTTTGCATACAGTAATGAAGAGAGTAGCAGTGGAGAATGAAAGTAATCTCCTGTAATCAAATGTATCCCCACTGCTGTGTAATCCATTACTGTAAACTGAAATGTTGTCAAGAAATGATCAGCTGAGACTGTTTTTCAGGAAACACTATTAAATGTTCAGTTTCTGTATGTCTGGAGAAGACAGAGCCCACTATCACTCCTGTCACACTCCACCACCTGACAGGTGGGAAACACAGTCCCACCTGTCACACCATGTGACCTGCTCTCACATACCGCTAACATTTGTTTACCTGTATCTTATATATTTTAAGATGTTTTAAGATCATATAAAGATGCATAAAAATGTGTAACATTATGTATTTTATACTGATCTTATTTAATGAATCATTTCAATGTAAGCAGCTATCTCCTGGAAGTTTTCAGTCTTTTGAATATGTGGCTTTACAGCTGAAGGCCCCATCCAAAGTTGTGTTTCTTAATGTTTACAGGCCTCCCAAATACTGCACAGACTTTTTTAATGACCTCAGTGAACTGCTGTCTGTGATCTGTGTTGATTTTGACTGTGTAATTATTGCTGGGGATTTTAACATTCATGTGGACAACCCTCAGGACAAAGGGACTAAAGACCTGAGTAACACTCTGGGCAACTTTGGGCTGACTCAGCATGTAACAGAGGCCACACATAATAGAGGACACACTCTTGACCTACTGATCTCCAAAGGCCTGAGCATTTCAAAGGTTAATGTGTCTGATGTGGGCCTGTCTGATCATTACTGTGTTTTCTTTGAAAGTAAAATCTCAGCCCACACAAATATATCAACAGCAGTGATCACAAAACGGTGTATAACTGAAAACAGTAGTGCAATTTTTAACCAGGTCTTCCCATTAACACCTGACCTGCCCAGAGGGTCAGTCAATGAGCTCGTCAATAGCTTCAATGCTAACATGTTAAATGTAATGGACACTATTGCTCCCATTAAGGTGAAGGTTATCTCAGGAAGGAAAAAGTCTCCATGGAGAAACTCCACACTGGTGAAAAATGAAAAAAGAGAGTGTAGGAAAGCTGAGCGCAGATGGAGAAAAACAAACCTCCAGGTTCATTATGACATTTATAAAGAGAAACTTCACAATTATAATTTACAACTGAGGAATGCAAGAAGGTCCTACTTCTCTGACATCATCACTAAAAACAGCCATAATGCTCGGGTCTTATTTGCTACAGTTGACAGGCTAACAAACCCTCCTGTGTCAGTGGCAGCTGAACTTCATTCGACCATGGCCTGCAATGACTTTGCCAAATTCTTCACTGAAAAAATCCAAAAGATTAGACAAGCAGTTAGTACATCAACAGCAGATCCAGGATATGTACTGTGTCCACCAAAAAACTGTTTAAACACCATGAAACAGTTTCAACCTATTAACAGCAAAGACCTGGAGGACATCTTAGGTCAGCTGAACTCCTCCTCCTGCTGTTTAGATGTCCTGCCAACAAGTTTTTTCAAAAAGGTCTCAAAGACTTTAGAGTCAGACCTGTTACAGATCGTCAACTGTTCTTTATTATCAGGTGTGTTTCCAGAATCACTAAAAACTGCTGTAATCAAACCTATACTGAAAAAGGACAATCTTGACAAGACACAAATCAACAACTACAGGCCGATCTCAAATCTCCCGTTTTTAAGTAAGATCATTGAAAAAGCAGTTTCTCAACAGCTCAGTTACTTCTTAAAACAGAATAACTGCTACGATGCCTTCCAGTCAGGTTTTAGACAGAACCACAGCACTGAAACCGCTCTGACCAAAGTGTTTAATGACATATGTCTGAATACAGACAGTGGAAAAATGTCAGTCCTAGTTTTACTGGATCTCAGTGCAGCATTTGATACAGTTGACCACAACATATTACTCAAACGACTGGAGAACTGGACAGGTCTTTCAGGAACTGTACTAAACTGGTTCAAAACATACGTAGAAAACAGGAAATACTTTGTATCAATAGGTAACTTCACATCTGAGCAGACAACTATCACATGTGGAGTTCCCCAAGGTTCCATCTTGGGACCCCTTCTGTTTAACATCTACATGCTCCCACTGGCACAGATTATAAAGAACAACAAAATAAACTACCACAGCTATGCAGATGACACACAAATATATATCACAATGTCACCAGGAGACCGAGGCCCTGTACAGGCTCTTGGTAAATGCATTGAGGAAATCAATGACTGGTTGTGCCACAATTTTCTCCAGCTAAACAAAAACAAAACTGAGGTAATAGTCTTTGGCGCCAAAGAAAAACGATTACAGGTCACCAGAGAACTTCAATCTATACATCTAAAAACCACAAACCAGGCGAGAAATTTGGGTGTAGTGATGGATGCAGACCTAAACTTAGAAAAACACATTAAGACAATAACAAAGTCAGCTTACTATCACCTCAAGAATATATCAAGGATAAAAGATCTGATGTCTCAACAGGAGCTGGAAAAACTAGTCCATGCATTCATCTTTAGTAGGCTTGATTACTGTAACAGCATCTTTACAGGTCTACCTAAAAAATCAGTCAGACAACTACAGCTCATTCAGAACTCTGCTGCTCGAGTCCTCACTAAGACCAAAACAGTGGACCACATCAGTCCAGCTCTGAGGTCTTTACACTGGCTGCCTGTCCGTCAGAGGATAGACTTTAAAGTTCTGATGCTGGCCTATAAAGCTCTGAATGGTTTAGGACCAAAATACATCAATGACCTCCTGACCCAGTATGAACCTTCCAGATCCCTCAGGTCATCTGGATCCGGTCTTTTATCAGTTCCCAGAGTCAGAACCAGACACAGAGAAGCTGCATTCAGCTTTTATGCTCCTTATATCTGGAACAAACTCCCAGAAAACCTCAGATCAGCTGAAACACTCAGTTTATTTAAATCCAGGTTGAAGACTCACCTATTCTCAGCTGCATTTGAATAAAGCACCAAATCCACACTTTAAGCTTAAATGTCAAAACTTACATTTAACTACTGATTTTATCTACTGTTCTGATTTTATCTGTTTTGATTTTATATACTGTTGTTTGTTTGTTTGTTAATTAGTTAGTTAGTTAATTTGCTTGTTTTAATCAATTTTAAATCATGCTTTTTATTTGTTCTTGTTTCTAATGTCTCTGTAAAGCACTTTGAATCACCTTGTTGTTGAATTGTGCTATACAAATAAACTTGCCTTGCCTTGCCTTGCCTTGATCTTTATTTTTCACTGACAGTGAAATTCTAGTTTTTAATGTCGTACCTGTTTCATGCTGAGTTCTCCTCTCTTCAACGCCTGACGAAAGCCCATCTTCCCATGGAAGAAGCCATGCTGGTTTACGAGCGTGGAGGACTGCTGGAGGCTCGGACACACTGGTATGCCTTCAGACAGGTTGGCATGCAAGCCAATGGGAATGTTGTGTCTGACACAGGAACAGCACAGCTCTGTTAAACCATGCGATGCTACAACAGGCAAACATTTGTCTATGTTCAAAGGCACAGTCACTCTGTTCTTGATTATAAATACATATAACATCTGTATCGAAATACAGCTGTGAAAGAGAAAATCCACTCTCGTTTAAGGTTTTATGAATCAGGACATGAATCCTTCTTTGAAATAGTCTTTTTGTTTTTTCAACGACTGTTTCACATCATCACAGAGGAAACGTACTGCTTCACAACAGCGCTGCTTTAGTTCATCGAGGTTTGTGGGCGTATGTTTATGCACAGCTCTCTCAAGGTCCTGTCACAGTTGGGTCCAAGTCCAGAGTCAGCCACTGTAACACCTTGGTTCATTTTTTTGTAGATATTCTGTTTTTGATTTGATGGTGTACATGGAAAGAGTAATTGTATGATACAGTGTCAGCCAGGCTTTATTCAGGGACAGATTCAATTCAATTCAATTTTATTTATATAGCACCAAATCACAACAAAAGTCGCCTCAAGGCGCTTCATAGATACAGAGAAAAACCCAACAATCATATGACCCCCTATGAGCAGCACTTTGGCGACAGTGGGAAGGAAAAACTCCCTTTTAACAGGAAGAAACCTCCAGCAGAACCAGGCTCAGGGAGGGGCGGGGCCATCTGCTGTGATTGGTTGGGGTGAGAGAAGGATGGCCTCACAGTAAGCTTTATAATACTGTGGTACACAGAGGAGTTCATGGTCAACTAGCAGTGAGATACCCGGGTCCTATGGCTGCAAAACAAGCTGTAATCATCCCTCAGACTGTCCCACCAATCGCCCTTGGTCTGGAGCACCATGCAGGATCGTACCTCACAGAGTGATGATAGTCATGAAAAAGGTGGTGGATCAGTCCAAAAACATGTAGCAGGAGCTGGTTAATGATCTGACGGCAGTTCGGACCACAGTCACCAACAACACCACGGGTAACGTACTACATTATAATTGTTTGTCCCCCTGCTCAGGAAGACACATTTATAGGCTTGTCTGAATTTTGCCACTGAACATCTAAATGATTCAGAGAAGAAACTGCTGTGGTCAGAAACTAAAATCAACTCAACCTCAGAATTGCTGAGGTTCACCTAAAGAACACTATTCCCATAGTTCCCAGTGGCCTTTTACTTTGCTCTTGTGCGATGACCTGATCACGGTGCAGCTCCACTGTTACATGTGAGATCAACTGTCATTGTCAATCAATATCCTCATCCACACAACTAATGCCCCCAGCTGAACCAGGGTGTGGTGAACCAGGATCTACGTGCAGCCTGAGTCCACCATTGCATGTCATGCATACCCCCTTGGCACCTTACTGGTACGCTGCATGTCTCACGCAGACCAATGAGAAGTGTTACAGGGCTGGAGATACCAAACACCTGTCCCACATCCATGCACGGTCACTGTCTGTGGAAGTGTCCCTGTCCTCAACAGCCATCGGCTATTGAGGTGTAGTGTCTGTGGCCTCTGGGACCTGAGCAGAAATAGAGGGAGAAGGGTGTTGGGTCCCAGAGCCGCTTACTTGTTCCATCAGTTGTGTCCGCTCCACCGAATCTTGGCCATTACAACGGGTGGTCCAACATCAGTGTCACTGTAATGTCGAGGCTGATCAGTCGGTGGCAACAGACCAACTCCGCTGTGCCCGCCTGAGGCCCCTCCATCACTATGAGCTCTGCCAGCCAAGCCTCCCCTTTCCTGGGACCAGGTTGTAGCTTTTGGTTTGCATATTATGCAAGGCCCTACGCCAAGCTGCAGGCAGCTGATCTCCATCATGGAGATGGAGTTGTTTATTAACCAAGATAAGGATTCTGCAATCATTCCCTTTAGTTATTTAGTTCTTTGCTTTTCTACTGTACTCAAAGGACTTTACACAACTTGCCTCATCCACCCACTCAGACAAGCACTTCTATTTTTTATGTAAGTGCTTACTAAGTAAAGTGCTCTGACTGCTCAGAGTAGAAAAGTGCTATATCAGAACCAGTCCATTTACTAACCAACATTCACACACACATGCAGCAATGGATTCGTCAGAGAGCAACTTGGGGTTAGTATCTTGCTTTGGGATATTTGACATGGACACTAGAGCAGCCGGAGATCAAACCACCAACCTTCTAATTAGAAGATGACCTGACCGAGGTGCTTCCTTCTTTTAAAGACTATACCAGATTCTAAATTTGGCTCATCCTAAAGTTATCTTATTTTTCTTATTATCTTATTTTCTTTCTATATTGTCTTATTGGAATATCATTCGAACTGTAGAAGTGTAGTCGGATGATAACACACAGAGGAAAGGTTCAGAACTGAGGGGATCAAACTACCAGAAGGCAACATTGCAGACCCGGAGAACAGCTACAAGTTCCTATGAATGCCAAAGGGAAATGGGAACCACAAACAGGCCGCTAAGAAACTTGCAACCGCCAAACACCTGGAAAAGTCAGGCAAGGCCAGAGGAGTCAGCTGAACGGTAAGAACAAGATCCGGGCTATCAACACCTATATCCTGCCGCTAATCAGGTACCCCGCTGGGATGATAAGCTGGCCAAAGGAGGAGATAGAAGCCACTGACATCAAGCAAGAAGAAGAACCATTATGGAAGGACAGGCCCAGGATGACATCCAGAACTCCTACCAGTGGCTGGACAAAGCTGGACTGAAAGACAGCACAGAGGCACTAATCATGGCAGCACAAGAACAAGCTCTCAGTACAAGATCCATAGAGGCTGGGGTCTATCACACCAGGCAAGACCCCAGGTGCAGGCTGTGTAAAGATGAGACAATCCAGCACATAACAGCAGGGTGCAAGATGCTAGCAGGCAGGACATACATGGAACGCCATAACCAAGTGGCCGGCATAGTGTACAGGAACATCTGTGGGAGTACGGCCTGGAGGTCCCGAGGTCAAAATGGGAGACGCCCCCAAGGGTGGTGGAGAATGACCGAGCTAAGATCCTGTGGGACTTCCAGATACAGACAGACAAAATGGTAGTGGCTAACCAACCGGACATAGTGGTGGTAGACAAACAGAAGAAGATGGCCGTAGTGATCGATGTAGCGGTTCCGAATGACAGCAACATCAGGAAGAAGGAACACGAGAAGCTGGAGAAATACCAAGGGCTCAGAGAAGAGCTCGAGAGGATGTGGAGGGTGAAGGTAACGGTGGTCCCCGTGGTAATCGGAGCACTAGGTGCGGTGACTCCCAAGCTAGGCGAGTGGCTCCAGCAGATCCCGGGAACAACATCTAAGATCAGCGTTAATCTCGTTAAAATGACGTTAACGCCATAACCGCATTAACGGGGCAAATCTCCGTTAGCGAGTTAACACGGATCGCCCCGTGCAGGGGCTGCATGGCGCTAACACGTTAGCGTGCTTAGCTTGTTAACGGTTATGGCGTTAACGTCATTTTAACAAGATTAATGCTGACGGCACAACTTTTTAAACCTCTTGAATTAAAGATAAGATAACCTTTATTAGTCCCACACGTGGGAAATTTGTTTTGTCACAGCAGGAAGTGGACAGTGCAAAAGTTATGAGGCAAAAATTAGAATACAATAAGAATAAATACAGTACACAGCTGTACAGAATAGAATAAAATAAAATACTATATACAGTAGAATACAATAAAATAAATATACAATAAGATAAAAATAGAATACAAATACAAATACTATATACAACTGAGTAAAAATACAACGATGCCAGAAAAGATTATTGCACTTAGTATTATTGCATATGTATGGATGTGTGTGCTTGATCAGTTAAAGTCTTTGTTGTGGAGTCTGACAGCAGTGGGGAGGAAAGACCTGCGAAATCTCTCCGTCCCACACCGTGGGTGCCGCAGTCTCCCACTGAAGGAGCTGCTCAGTGCTGTCACAGTCTGCTGCATGGGGTGGGAGACGTTGTCCAACAGGGATGACAGCTTAGCCGCCGTTCTCCTGTCACTCACCACCTCCACTGGGTCCAGAGGGCATCCTAGAACAGAGCTGGCCCTTCGGATCACCCTGTTCAGTCTCTTCCTGTCCCCAGCAGAGATGCTGCCGCCCCAGCAGACCACACCATAAAAGATAGCAGAAGCCACAACAGAGTCATAGAAGGTCTTCAGGAGTGGGCCCTCCACTCCAAACGACCTGAGTCTCCGCAGCAGGTACAGCCTGCTCTGCCCTTTCCTGTAGAGGGCGTCTGAGTTATGAGTCCAGTCCAGTCTATTGTTCAGATGAACACCAAGGTACCTGTAGCTGTCCACAGCCTCAATGTCCATACCTTGGATGTTCAGTGGTTGCAGTGGAGAATGCTTGTGCCTGCGGAAGTCTACCACCAGCTCCTTGGTTTCACTGGCGTTGATCTGGAGGTAGTTCAGCTGGCACCAGTCCACAAAGTCTTGGGTCAGTCCTCTGTACTCCTTGTCGTCCCCATCAGTGATGAGGCCGACTATTGCAGAGTCATCAGAGAACTTCTGCAGGAAGCACTGGGTGGAATTGTGGGAGAAGTCTGCAGTGTAGATGGTGAAGAGGAACGGAGCCAGAACCGTTCCCTGTGGGGCCCCCGTACTGCAGACGACCCTGTCCGACACACAGCCCGGAGTCCTCACATACTGTGGTCGGTCGGTGAGGTAGTCCAGGATCCAGGTAGTGAGGTGATGGTTCACTCCAGAGTTCTCCAGCTTGTCCTTCAGAACCGAGGGAAGAATAGTGTTGAAGGCACTGGAGAAATCAAAGAACATGATTCTCACAGTGCTTCCAGCAGTCTCCAGGTGAGCGAGGGAACGATGTAGGAGGTGAATGACGGCATCATCCGCTCCAATGCCAGGCTGGTAGGCAAACTGAAGTGGGTCCAGTGATGAGCTTGTTAGGCGCCGAAGCTGAGCCAGGACCAACCGCTCCAGGGTCTTCATCAGGTGGGATGTCAGAGCCACCGGCCTGTAGCTGTTGAGGTCCTTGGGGCGTGAAGTCTTTGGCACTGGTACAACACAGGAGGTTTTCCAGAGCTGTGGGACTCTTCCCAACCTCAGGCTCAGGTTGAAGAGGTGCTCCATCACCCCACACAGTTGGTCCGCGCAGGACCTGACGACCCTCGAGCTGATGCCATCTGGACCCGCTGCCTTCTTGCCATTAATCCTCCTCAGTTCCCTCCTAACCTGGGTGGTTGAGAGAGACAGGCTGGAGCCTTGTGTTGAGTGTGTATTGGATGCTGTTGTTGGGGGTGGGGAGGAGTGAGCAGGGTGAATAGAGGAGGTGTGAAGTGTCAGAGGTGGAACAGCAGCAGTGGGGGTGGGTGAGTCTGCAGCCGATGTTGTAGACTGCCTCATGGCTGAGTCAAATCTGTTGAAGAAATGATTCAGTTCATTTGCCCATCTCACATCCCTCCCAGGCAGAGAGTTCTGCTGTTTGTGGCCCGAGATGGTTCTGAGGCCTCTCCAGACTTCACCAACGTTGTTTTGTTGAAGCTGGTTCTCCATCTTCTGCCTGTAGCTCTCCTTCCCATTCCTTATCAGTCCCCTCAGCTCTCTCTGCACCCTTTTCAACTCCTCTTTGTCTCTGGATTTGAAGGCCCTCCCCTTCTGCTTGAGGACGGTTTTAATTTCTGGGGTAATCCAAGGTTTGTTGTTGGAGAAACACCGTACAGTCCTGGTAGGTACAGTGTTATCCACACAGAAATTAATATAGTCAGTAATGCATGTAGTAAGGCTGTCGATGTCCTCACCGTGGTCATCACAAATCACCTCCCACACAGTCGACTCAAAACAATCCTTAAGAGCCTCCTCGCTCTCCTCTGACCATCTCTGTACTGTGCGGGTGGCTGGTGGCACCCTGCGCACTAAGGGCTCATACACAGGGACAAGGTGCACCAGGTTGTGATCAGATCTGCCCAGGGGAGGGAGAGGTGATGAACTGTATGCCTCTTCAGCATTGGCATACAGTAAGTCCAGTGTTTTATTGACTCTGGTTGGGCAGGTCACATACTGGGTGAAGGTGGGCAGTGTGGAGTCCAGTGAGGCATGATTGAAGTCCCCTGATATTATGAGAAGGGCTCTCGGTGATTGTGTTTGCAGTCTGCTGACCACAGAGTGGAGAGAGTCACAGGCTGCATCCGCGTTGGCCGAGGGGGGGACATACGCTGTTATCGCGATAACATGCGAGAACTCCCGGGGCAGGTAGTACGGACGCATGCTAACGGCTAACAGCTCAATGTCTCTGCTGCAGAGTTGCTCTTTTACAGTGATGTGCCCAGGGTTACACCATCTGTCGTTCACAAAAACTGCCAGCCCCCCTCCTTTCCTCTTACCGCTGTCTCTGGTCCTGTCCGCTCGCAGCAGCTGGAATCCCGGTAGTGTCACGCTTGTGTCCGGAGTTAGCGGTGTTAGCCACGACTCCGTTAGCATCATGATGCTACATTGCCGGTACTCCCTCTGTGACCAGGTTAGCGACATGAGCTCATCCATCTTATTGGGTAAAGATCTTACGTTTCCAATAATTACAGAAGGAAGAGATGGTCGATAACGTCTCTAAAGCTGAAAGTCTTACTTCACTGTTTGCTTTGAAATTCACTGTGGTCATGTAAAGAGGAAGGAAAAAAAGTATGGCTCTAACTCTACTTTATTTATCCCTGAAACTGGGAAAATATTGTGTTACAGCACCCGAAACATTAAACACAATCCATAACAAAATAGCTTACATGTAGCCGAAGCACTAATAATATAAAAGTAGCAAAACAAAACACTTAAATAAAGCAGTAAAAATATAAATAAATATATAAAAAGCATGAGAAAAGCTAAAGAGAAAAGAGAAAAAAAAGCCCAAAAAGTTAAAATAGGTGGTAAAGAATTTCTTTATGTGTCTTTCTGGCAGCAGAGCTTAAAGAGATATATGAGAGAGAGCCGGTGCAGTGTGTAGTGCAAAGGAAAATGAAAGAAAAAAAATAATACCAGAGTTACAAAACGAAAAGACGTGGAAAACAAAGCAAGTCTTCAGAAACTGTCAGGACTAGCAGGAAAAAGTGAAAGATTTCTGGTCTCCTAGACATTACATTATGTACTGTAAATGGTATTTTTGCAGTGTGTTAGATTTTACATATACAGTGTAAGGCTACGCTACCTTTTAGCCAGATCTGCCGCCTGTTTTACAGCCGAGCCATTAACCAGCAACGAGACATTGGAGATGCCTCCAGCCTGGAAGCAATCCACAATCCCCTGGTTCCTCCTGGGACAGTAGCCAAAATCATCTCCTGTCACCACCAGCATCATTCTGGGCTGTGGCATTATTGCTGGTCTCTGTTGGCAACACACAGGGGACAGATTAACATTCATCATTATGGTGTCCATGGCTAATAATGACCAGGTTGTCCATTATCAGTGAACATGGACCCTGGATCCTCCGACTGTTCCACGTCACACGGTTTATTGATAAGAAAGACATTTGTGGTTTTCAACAGTGCCTTTCATTGCTGCTATAGAACATGAAAGAGCAGTACGTCAGCAAACAGAAGCACATATCTGTCAATACACCAGCCACGTTTCTAAACTAGATGATGGTCTGATTTAAGTTTCTGTGCACATTTTAAGATTGCTCTACATCGCCAGCTGGACTATTAAAAACACATAAAACTGCAAAGTTAGTCTATATTAGCCCTTTGTGGTGATATACTTGCCCGATGCAGCTGCCCGCTCATAATCAATGAAGTGCTGGGAAATCTTTGCTGAGTTACTGCGCTCTGTCTCTCGGTGCCTCTGGAGCTTCAGTTTGGGCTGCATTCTAATATGAACAGCTTCAGTCCGTGCAGGTAAGTACAGAGCATGATGAGCCAGACGAGCTGCTGCTTTTTACAGTGTAAAATTATCTGATCTACCTGGGCAAACACAGGAGCCACCTAGAAACCAAACAGTAACACCTTAACAAACATCTAAGTTGTGTTTACTATTTAGATCAGGGGCCCGTTCTTCGTACCTCGCTAAGTAAGTTAGCTGGATTAGATTGTTGACGATTTCGCGTGATCTTGGATCGTTCGGTTCCCCGAAACTCATCCGGGACTTGCTGTCATAGCAACAGAGCCGTAAGCGTAAACCTGCTCGGGAGCAGGTTTACTTTATGTAAACAGGATTAGATCGCGGCCACGCAGGTATGTCCGCTTCATTTATACGAAAGCAACAGCGATATTTTTCCACTGTTTCACCATAAATAAATATTATCAATGTAACTAAAGATAATGCAGCACTTGATCCTTTTATTGATGTCACACAGATACATACAGGTCATTTCCTAAAAAAGGGAAATGAACTATTAACATTCTATTACATGTATGTGATTATTACAGATGTAATTCATATTTCACAGTAGTAACTGCAAATTACTTCGTGTAATCAAGATGAGAGACCACGGCTATAAAAGCGAAGGTGGATTTGGGAAGCCTGTCGCAGTCATATCCTGTCCGTATACGCGAGCCACCCATTGCGGAAGGTGCAAGATTGATAAGGAGAGTCCTCAGAATCCAGCGTATATTGCGGGACAGACAGGATCATTTAGCTCAGCGCGACAGTGTGCTCATAGAGAGATATCGATATTCCCGTGAGGGTATTATTTACTTAACCAACTTGTTGACGAGGGGGTGCAGGACCACCACCTGTCTTTTCTTCCTCTGCCCTTTTCTTGGTTGCTGTTATGAACAAACTAACAGAGTATTACAGGCCAGTATTACCTTGCCAAGAGACTAAAAGCAATATAAGTGATAAATATTACCATTCTGTAGAATACTCCTGTATTTCACTTTTACTTGTTCCCATGTTCTTGTGGGTCCTGTTGTGGCTCTAATGTGAAAGGGGATATAATATAACATATTATAATATAATGCCATATGATATTGGACAATATAGTGTCATATGATAGATCTACCCTACCGCCTACTGGTGTTGGCCAGAGGGGCCGATGGCGCGATATGGCAGCCTGGCTACAACCGTAGCTGCCTCCACCAGTGTGTGAATGTGGGAGTGAATGAATAGTGGTATCGTAAAGCGCTTTGGGTGCCTTGGAAAGCGCTATATAAATCCACTCCATTATTATTATTATTATTAAATTACCTACGAGTTTAATTTGTCAGCAACTTTCTGCCAGCCCTCTCTCCTTGCTTTTGCAGCCTTTGCAGTGTTCTCTTGCGTTTTAATTAAACTCTGAAACTCCTGAAATCCCTCAATCATGAGTTCTTGCTCTGCTGCCGGAAAATACCGAGCGCGCCCCTTGGACACTTTTCGCCGACCAATCAGAGGGTTGCCGATCAATGTTTCTACTATCGATGCGTAGCCCCTTTTACGACACCCAGTGATGTCACATTCCTGCGTCCAGCTGTAGTAATCGTCAACAGCAGGTGTGTTCGGGGAACCGGATTAGCGAGCTCACGGTTAGCGCGATGATTTGATCTTGGATGTGTCATTTGATCTTGGATGTAGTAAGCGACGTACGAAGAACGGGCCCCAGGTTTGAAAAAACACCCACAACACTCCTGTTAATCTTAGCCCCCATGTCTGTTAACCCAACTATATTCTACAGGTTCATGTTTACCATTATTCCTGAGTTACAAGCAGAGTCTGCACAGGTAGGTCATAAGTTTCTTTTTAAATGGTAACAGTAGTGTCCACAGATCTTTGGTCCAACAGAAGAAGTTGGGGGCCACAGCCTCCAAAGGGCAGTCTCATTCTGTCTTCTGGATCGTGGTACAGCCAGCAATGATCAGCAGACCTCAGAGATCTACCTGGCACATACGGATGTAGCAGCTCACTGATCATGGAGGCATCTGATCATGGAGGGGTCTCAATATGATCAGCACACTTTTAAACTGAGCCCCAAACTTTATGAGGAGGCAGGAAGACATAATCTGTCCACTTTAAGGGGACCCAGTGATAAGCCTGACAGCAGAGTACTGAAACACTGGTAAGTGATCCAGAGAGGACCTGCTCAGGCAAATGAACTACAATAATCAAGATGTAATGAAATAAAGGTATGTATAACCACTTTGATTTCACTTTGAGACACAGTGTATTTACGTTTGTAAAAGAAAACCAACATGTTTTTCCAAACTGAAGCCTGATAAAAGGTGACGCCCAGATTTCTCACAGTGGGGAAAACTAAAGTTTAAAGATGAAGATGAAAGGGGCACAGAGTTATTCAGGATGAATGCAAGTGTGAACATGAACTAAATTAGCAGAAGCAACTAAAAAGCTCCTGTGAAAGAGAGAAAGAAACTCCCTCAAGTGCTGATCCAGACATTCAAACACAAGCTCTAAATGTCTAAGATACCATTAGATTTAAAGATGGAGCTGCCAGGGACGGAAAGACCACAGGGAAGCTTTATACATACAGTGAAAGAAGACACGCAGGGGTTGGTGTGACAGACGAATATGCTAGAGATGGGGTTAGATGATAGCAACTGATCTATGGCGTTATTTTTGTGCCACTATTCTGAACGCACGTAAAAAAAAGTTTGCAGGTGCAAGTGTTGTATTTTGAGGAGAAATTTATTTTGAGCGAAGAAAAGCTAAATTTGAGTGAACAAAATTCATTCCTGCGTGCAAAAAATGTATTTCAGTGTTTGCTATTATCCACACACACACACACACACACACACACACACACACACACACACACACACACACACACACACACACACACACACACACACACACCAGCAGCCCCTCTCGCTCAGTTTTTGCATTTCACAATGTGTCGCTCGCGCTCTCAACATTTCTGCCTTTCGACTCTTTCTCTACACCGTTATATTTGTGCCACAAAACCAGCCAATCACAGACTTGGATGCAAAAAAATCTGATTGGCTGTTTTGGTCTCCAATCAGCTCGAAATGACGAAATGCAATATCCCAGAATCCATTTGGTCCAAAGCTCAAACACGGCCAGATTCTTCCTCTGGATGGCATTACCTTGGCCTCCAGTAACGCTGTGAGGAACCTTGGAGTCATTTTTGACCAGGACATGTCCTTCAACGCACATATTAAACAAATATGTAAGACTGTGTTCTTCCATTTGTGCAACATCTCTAAAGTTAGAAATATCCTGTCTCAGAGTGACGCTGAAAAACTAGTTCATGCATTTATTACTTCCAGGCTGGACGACTGTAATTCATTATTATCAGGAAGTCCTAAAAACTCACTGAAAAGCCTTCAGCTGATCCAAAATGCTGCAGCAAGAGTCCTGACAGGGACTAGAAAGAGAGAGCAGATTTCTCCTGTTTTGGCTTCCTGTTAAATCCAGAATTCAAAATCCTGCTCCTCACATACAAGGTCTTAAATAATCAGGCCCCATCTTATCTTAATGACCTTGTAGTACCATATCACCCTATCAGAGCACTTCGCTCTCGCTCTGCAGGCCTACTTGTTGTTCCTAGAGTATTTAAAAGTAGAATGGGAGGCAGAGCCTTCAGTTTTCAGGCCCCTCTTCTGTGGAACCAGCTTCCAGTTTGGATTCAGGAGACAGACACTATCTCTACTTTCAAGATTAGGCTTCAAACTTTCCTTTTTGCTAAAGCATATAGTTAGGGCTGGACCAGGTGACCCTGAATCCTCCCTTAGTTATGCTGCAATAGACGTAGGCTGCCGGGGATTCCCATGATGCATTGAGTTTTTCTTCTTCAGTCACTATGTATTAACAGACCTCTCTGCACTGAATCATATCTGTTATTAATCTCTGTCTCTCTTCCACAGCATGTCTTTATCCTGAATCGCAACTGAATTGAATCACAATAATCAACAGCAGCTTTACTGCTACTCAAGACTTTAACTTTAATAACAGATTTGTCACATTGGTAGACCATAATTTAATGATTGCCTTCCTGTATTATAGCAATTATATATTGTTAGCTATATTGTAGATGTTTGATTTCAGTATCTACAACTACAGTGAATACAATGGTATTTATGTTAGTCCCAGCTTGCATGATGGGGGGTTGTATTAAACCACAATGAAAGTTTTTGTCAAAGTGTTTTTTTCCAACACTTTGACATTCTAATTTTATTCTTTTTCTGTATAACACACAAATTATTTTTAAATTAATCATAAATTACATATTTATTCATTTATTTTCTTATGTTGTAAATTTGCACTGCACAGTCTCTTATTTCTTTTTTGTGTGTTATATTCTGGACTTTCGTGTGACCCTGCATGCTCCATCGGTCTGTCTTTGCTGCTGGAACACATGAATCTCCCCAATGAGGAACAACAAAGGATATTTCTGTTCTACTCTATTTCTATTTGTAAATAATATCTGAATTATT